GTTGCTGGTACAGTTTCCCCTTGCAGGGGGCTTTGCAGGCCTTGCTCATGGGTGTCCTCAGCTGTTAAGGCTTCATATCTGGTTTTGATTTTGATGGTGGAGGGTGCAGGGTGATGTGGAGGCCTGCTTTTGTTAGTCACCAGGGTCCAAGGTGCCTCATTCTCAGTGGTGTCTGCCACAGGAACATGGCTCTGAAGCCACCTATCTATCTCTGTCTTGGCTCCTCTAATACTGCGCAGCCTTTTGACTGTTTCCTGCAGTTCGGCCACCTGACATAACAGATCATCGACCTGTGTGCACCTTATACAGGTACTTACCTCTTCATCAGGGGAAGGGTTTGGGTGCTTGCTGCAACCTACCGCCTGTACTGATGTTTCTTTTCTTACCAGATCCGTCTGGGTGCACGCGTCAGATGTCTCAGGGGCTTTCTCTGTAGGAACAGTGGTTTTGGCCCTGAGGCGAGTTCCCACCGTATTGCCAGAGGCTTAGAGCACTTCCCTGGGCTGTGGGCCTACAAGTGGGTTGCAGAGCCCTGCCTGTGCGAACTGCCGCGCCACACCATGCCCTTCTGACGCACCACGCCCTTCTGATGCGCCACACCCTGTTTGCCCGTCCTGGTCGCTTGCGCTCCCTAGGGGACATTTAAATCTCCCACCATTGCTCCTGGCAATGCCCACGCCGCATCAGCCGCACATCAGCCTCACTCAGGAGAGCTGCTGGCTCCTGATGGGTCCCTCTGCTCGCCCTCGGGTTCCCCAGGCTCCGAAAACCCCCTCACCTGCCCCAATCTAGCGCTGAGCCACAGGACTTACCCTTGCTGCTGCTGTGGTCCTCACCAACTGAGTGCCGTTGGCAGTTAAGCCGCGTTTTCATGCTTGAGTCCCTTAGACACCTTAATGGCCCTTCACTGGACCAGCTCCATTATATCCATATCTCTCCTGTACTGGAGAGTCCAACACTGGACTCAGCACCCCAGACATGTCTCACCGGTGCTGAGCAGAAGGGAAGGATCACCTCCCTCAACCTGGTGGCAACGCTCTACCTAATGCATCCCTGCAGGCTGTTGGCCTTCTCTGCTGCAAGGGCACATTGCTGGCTTGTGGCCAGCCTACCATCCCAGGAAGACCACCAGGTCCTCTTCTGCCAAGCTGCTCTCCAGGCAGTCAACCCCCAGCCTGTGCTGTTGCAGACCATTGGTCTGGGGCAATTTTTAAATCTCTTTGGCAATAAAGGGATACTCTCGGTTCTGCACCCTTTATGTGTGCACTATGAGGCAGTCCCACAGATAAACCTTTTCCCTCTCCCCTGAGGATTGGACAAGCAGTGCAGCAAAGAGGAGATTTCAGCTAGCTACTGGGAAAGACATCTTAATGCTAAGGAAAGTAAAGCAATGGAAAATCATGCAATCGTGAAAATTCTGTCATTGGAGCTTAGGCAAGTATCTAACAGGAATATAATAGGCCTAGCTGATCCTGCTTTCAGGCAGGGGAGTGGATTAAATGAACTTTCAAAGCCTTGCTGTGGTTCTCTGCTAATTCACTACACAAAAACAGCGGCATCGATATTTGAAAAACCTTACCCTGTTATTTGAGGTATGGCACCTATCTTCGGACACAGTGCTGAAACACAACTACTTATTCCCAAAAAAGGCATTTTATCGTCTACTCCTCTGCAGGATCCTGGTGTTCTACAAACACAGACGATTTATCTTCCCAGGGTTCCTGAAGATGAGAAGGAAGTATTGCCTTCTACATTTACTCATGGTCATTGAGTCAAAATTGCCAAAACAAACCATAGACTGGTTTCTCATTTGAGACACTTAAGAACAGTTTTTTTCAGCATCTAAAACATATCTTCAAAGCACAGTTCCCATAATAGTGAGTATTCAGCATATCCCATATCAGATTCCAGTTGTCAGGGTTTCCAGAAAATCAGTTACCATCTGTGAAAAGTTTTGAGTTAAGTGACTAGCCCAGTGTTACATAGGAATGATGTTCAGGAGAATAATAACAAAATCCATAATAGCAACAAAATCCAATACCAGGACAACACTGTTTCCCAAACCACAGTACAATCCTTTCCTATCTTGAAATCCTCTGCCATCACCCTCCAAATTCCACAGTTTCTGCAATGAGGTAACCATGATTCATCCCACAGCAGGTCCATCCTCTGCAGTGAGGGAAAAAAAAAGAAAAAAAACCCACCAGTCTGCGGTCGTGCAATTAGAAATTGGAAGATAATGCACATAATGGACCTGAATTACGGCAACTTTAGTTCTGGCATTCCTTAGCCTGGCTTGGCAATTATTAAGATCTTCTCTTATGGGTTTATTTTTTTTACTGTTTCAAGTCATTTCTTAGGTTTTTACAAAAGCAAATTGGAAAGACAAATTCCTCACATGGAAGCAGCTGATCCACAGCTGGGTAAACAGCAGAACTGGAACTTTTGTGTCCTCAGCACAGTGCATAGAGAGACACTGGCAGAGCTGCTAATACTGATATGCTGTTATCATCAGATGGTTTTTGCATTTGCGTATCTTCAGACATGACTCGTGTGTTCCACAGGAAAACAGTGGTACATCTTCTTTTCTTGAAAAAGATACTCTTTGGACAAATTTGCATCTCCTTCTGTCCCTCCAGCTTCTCTCCCTCAGGTTTGATTAATTTTATAGGTATACCAGCATACTGGCTATCCTCCAGATATAAAAAAATAAAGCCATATTGTTAAAAGAGCGTCAGTTGGCTACATTTGTCTCCATAGATTTTAGGGACAAATAACCCACTGTGGATCTCTAACTGGATAGGAAAGCTAAGTACCTTCTTCCTGAAACTGTACATAGTCTCTGTGCTGATTGCTGAATCTAAAATAAGACTGAAAGCATAGAACTCCGTTCTGATCTTCCACAGGTTTTATATACTTCCAATTACACTGACTCCTGTAGAATTATTTTCAGATAAGTAACACCAGCAAGTAACAGTAGTGTTATACAAATACTTTTTATCATTTAAATATGTCTGTTTTCCCATGTTAAAAATTCACAAATGATCTAATACATATGTCTACACATAAAGGCCCAATTAATTTCTTCTTTTTGACAATGTAAATCTCTTACCTCAATCAAAGTCAACATAGAGGCACTAATAAAACAATTAGATCTGAAGTACTTCTGGTTGTTTGATAACTTTAGACCTACATACAAATGGGTCTTGGTCTTCCAGTTTGAAATATCTACAATAACTGAAGAAGTCTAATGCAATTCCCTGCAGAAGAAAAGAAGCCAAGGCTGGAAGTATTGCATTTGGGATGTAGAAGCAAGAATCACAAAATCAATCATCCAGAATAAATGATATTATTATTATTAACATCACTCAGAAGCTGTGTGAAAGAAGACAAGCTGAAAGGATGTGTTTAAACATGCCAAATGTGTTTGGGATATCTCAGATGCATTTTGCTGCCCTCAGATACGAACTGATTGTTTTTCTATTTAGGGCTAGCTAACCTACAAAGCAAGTCAGTACACTGGGAAGCCAGGAGAAAGTATCAGAAGAAAAAAGGACATGTTTTTGCCTGATCGTTGCTACTTACAACTCCAGTGACTTATGGAACAAATCTGTATAACATCAGATTTTTACAATTTCTTTGTTTCTAATGACTAGGCAAAATCCCTAAATGAACTAACTCTTATGGAAGGCTTTGAGCCAAGTTCAGGGATGATGTAGCCCATGAAACAGCAACAATAAGCAAAGGGACCAAAATCTGATGCCACTGATCAAGCTGGGTGGTATGGCAGGAACACCAGTCCTTGAATGGCAGCAAATAAAGCACATCTAATTGGTATTTGAATCATATCCCTACTTCTTACACCCTCAGCTGATATTTGTGCTACACACCTGTGCACACATTTACTACCACACATGTTCTAGTACTGTTGTTGCTCCATTAATGGTGCTTGATCTGTAATTCGTACCCACTGTTTTGCTGCTCACCAAAAGACCATCATGTGCCTAAGAGTCAAGAGAGTTAACATCTCCTTGATACACTGAAATGCTCTGCTCACCACTATCAATCGTCAGGAAGATCTGCACTAACAAATACATGAGATTCTTTAATTTAATCTGATGGAATGGTAAAATGGCTGAGGCTGGCAGGCACCTCTGGGGAGCCTCTAGTCAATCCCCTGCCCGAAGC